ACAAAGTTCTGGTCATTTGTTTCCATTGTATCATCTACATCAGTCATAATCCCATTCAAATCTTTCACAACAGGATCCTCTAAAGGTTTCTCTCCATGGATTGTAATATTCACCAATTCCATCAATTTGGTCATTTGATCTTTTGAATCATTTTGGAATTTTTTTTGCTTGATCTATCATCTCTTGTTGAGTCTTGATAAGTTGCTCTTGTATTTTCTCAATTCTACCAACCCTTGCTAAAATCTCATTCATGACTATTATCCTTCTTTAGGAAGACCAAGTTTAGCTCCACTTTGATTTCAGAAATTTTGTCATGGAATCCTCTCCAAATTATTCTCATGTTTTCATGATTTAAATGTATGTAAAATAATTTGAAATAAAATGTAATTATGCAAAGATGCAAATGCAAAAATGGAAATATAAATACAAATGTAAAAATGCAAAATGCAAATGCAAATGCAAATGTAAATATGTGAATGTAACAATAAGAATGCAAATTGTGCAATACAAAAGCAAACATAAAAGTATAAATGAAAATGTAAAGATGCAAAATGCAAATGCATGTATGAAAAGGTGTTACTCAAGAGTGATCATCTTAGAACAGATTTCATTGAACACAAAAGTTTTCGTGCATCAAAAAAAAAATTTACATGTAGGGGACAACTTTCAGTCCTAAATTCAACAAAACTTTACATATATGGGATAACTTTCCCTCCTCTTCTCTAAAGCCAAGTTAGTTTCTATTCATGCTCAACAGTTGAATTATCAGTCTGCTTCAATTCCTCGTAAAGTCAGTTTGGTCTATCAGCTTATGGGTCATATTGCTTGTCTGGACTGCGGCTTCTTCCATGACATTCTCTTTTTTCTTCATCTTATGTGTCAATTCTCGGAGTTGCTTGTTTCCCTTGTAAGAGAACCTTTTATATCCAATAAGTTCTTGGATAAGATCTTCATATATGTTGCAGTTCTTTTTCAGTTTGGTAATCCCTGTTATCCATTCTTCTGAAGTGTTTCCTATGCCAAATTTTTGAAAGGCTTGACTGGTCTTTTGGAAATCTTCATGCATGGTTTCCACTTTTGTGCTCAATTTCTTGTTTTGGTCATTCAAGTCCTTCAAATAGCATGCTTGAGCTTCATAAAAACCTCCTCTACTCTGTGTGTCCCGATTGATACTCTTACCGTAGACTGCTTTTGGTATCAATCTGGAAGGATCTTTGTGGAGTACTTTTGGTATTAATATAAAAGGATCTCTGTGTGCATTGCTTGCTTCCACCCTTGGAGTTTCCTCAAGATGTCTTTCCTTGGCCGCGTCATATTTTGTTTGATCATAAAACTTTTTGTCCATTTACGATTTCTTTCCAATTTGATGAACAATCTTTCAAGTCAACACCTTTTGTTTATACCATGATCATGCAATGCAGACAAAAGAAATCAATGGAAACAAGTTTGAGCAAAATAAAAAGGAAAAAGGAAAAAATAAATTGGTTAGTACCAATTAATGGAAAGAAAAAAATTTCTATCTATCAAGGTATAAATCCTAACCTCGTGCTTTCTAGTTCCATGCTTTGTTTGAAAAAATTAACCTAATTGCATGATTTCTAGTTCGCATGCATTTATTCAGGAAAAAGAAAAGAAAATAAAATAAATTAAAAGCTAGAGGTTATTTCTCCTTTGTGTACACCTACGGACAGAGGTTCAGTATAGTCTTAGATCGGGAGAATTTCTAGGGTTTATTATATGCATGGTTTCAGTTCTAGGAGTAAAGGTACTCGAACTATCCTTGTTGATGCCCCCTTGGGCTGTCAAACCCTCAATCCTAGTCCATCACAGACTTAAGCGGATCGAGTTCAATTTGAGGGGACACATTTCTCTATGCCTGACACGAAGTATAAATTCTCACGAAGACATAGAGCATATGAACCCCGAAAGTTACTTGCTAGGTCTGACACGGAGAATAAATTCTCACAAAGACGTCGCTTTCACTCGCACTTAAAAGGGACAAGCTTAATTATAAAGCTTATGTTATGCAATGCATGTGTTGTGTGTGTGGAGAAATATTCAAACCTTTGAAAAACAAATAAAAATGAAATTTAATAATTGAAAATAAAATAAAAACAATTAATAAAGAATAATAAAAATATTATGAAAACCATAAGTAATAAAAATTTTGAAAGAAAAGAATTATAAATTAAATACATATGAATTTTTAATTTCTAATTTATAGAGACAATTTATAATTAATTTTAAAGCTTGATTTCGTCCCCAGCGGAGTCGCCAAGCTGTCGTAACCGGTTTTCGCCCGGGCACGAATTTTTACTAGGCGAAAAAAATGATGTGAATAAATGGTTTTTAAAATATTTTGGGAGTCGTCATCGGCCTTTTGAATCAGGTAGGTCGAATACCTCAAAATTATCTTTTAAAAGAGATTTTAAGAAAACATCAGTTAAAAGATAAACTAGTCTGCGTTTTAACCAAAAATTCGTTCTTTTTAATAATAAAAAGGGATTTGTGGTCGATTACGTTTGGGGAAGGATTAACACCCCCCACAACGCCCAAAATTGGTACTTATTAATTATAAATTGTCTCTATTATTAGAAATTTAAATGTTCAAAGATGTATTTAATTTATAATCATGTTATTTCAATTTTATTATTATAATTTTAAGAAAATCTATTTATATATATATAAATAAGATATTTATTTATTTAGAAATATCAGAAAATGACTTCTAGGTGCTTTAAGACAGCTCTTTTCTTAATATTAAAAAATAAATAAATATTAATAAAACATTTATTTAAAAATAATTAAAAAATAGATTAATATAATTTATAAAAGTAAAATATTTATTTATTTAAAAATATCAGAAAATGGACATTCAGTTGCTTTAAGACTGCCCCTTCTTAATATTGAAAAATAAATAAACATTTTTATTAAAAGTAATTTATAAAATTAAACTTATAAATAGGATTTTAATAGAAAACAAATAAAATAAATAAATATTATATATATATTTATATGACTTAAGATAATAATAATAAAATAATAATGAAAATAAAATACTAATTTAAAAGTATTGAAAAATAAAGTACAATACAAAATATAAATAAAATTGCAATAAAATTAATAAAATAAATTAAAAACTTATAAAATTAAAATATAAATATTGAAATTAAAGATACTAATTCGAAACATTATAAAAGATAGTGATTTAAAGGTGTAATTTATCCTAATTAATTAATTCGGATTAAAATAAAATTTATTAAAATTACAGGGACTAAATGCACTATTTATCCTAAATATATCATTATAGACATATAAGGACTAAAATAAAATAATATAAAATTACGATAATAAATTAATATGTTCATAAATTGATTTCAGTGGCTAAAATAGAAGTTTATAAACTTCGAGTGACTGCACGTATAGTTTACCTCTATGTGAAATTACAGACACACCCCTTCCCAAAACGGCGTCGTTTGGGAAGGGGTATTTATACCCGAATATGGCTGGTCCTACGGGCCATTCTCTCATTTCCTCTTTTCTTCCTTTCTCTCTAAAAACGAGAGAACCATTTCTCTCTCGCTTCTCTCTAGCCTACTCCCACTGGAGGAACGGTGGTCACCAGCCGACCGCCGTGAACCACCATCGACATCCACCATCGACCACCATCCGCGGTGGCCGAAAATTTCAAACCTACCCCAAATCGTCCCTCTTTAAAACCTAAAGTCGAATCTAGCCTTCCTCCCTTCTAAAACCCCCTATTTTACCTTAGATCTAAAATAAACCGAAGTGGTTACCCTCGGTTATTTGGATCTCCGACGATGTTGGAAAGCTCTGATGGTCGAGGTAAGGCTCTCGATTTTTTTCTTTTGGTTTGACACTGTTTGGGAACGTTGCTATTTCCTTTCCCCTTTTTTTGCTATCATCGTCGTTTTGATGTGTTCTCCGTGGCTGTTGGTTGCTCTCTTGCTGTGTTCTTTTCGTTCTTGGTTGCTATCCTCGTCTCTGTCTCTCCCCTTTCTTTTTTTGCAGATGGTTGGTTTTTATAAGCCTCGTTAGTGTCCTCTTCGGACTGGTCCCAAAGAGATGGCCTAGGTGAGTCACCATACCTATGGTGGTGACTCATAGTAGAACTCGACGTGTGGAGGGGCAACTAGTCTTCTGGACGTTTCGGTTGAAGGTGGTGTCGTGGCAGCAGCGTCGGCTGGAAGCAAAGGTAACTAAAGTGGCGCCGCGTGGTTGCCCTAGGGTATCATACCCTAGGGTTTCGTCTAGAACTATCTGGGCCGTTAGATCATAGCTAGATCCAACGACTGTGATTTGATGCTGCTGGAGCTGAGGATGAAAACCCTAGTTGGGTTTTAGGGTTTCCAATGGGCTGGCTCGAGTTTGGGTTGTAAAATGGGCCTCGATTTACTGTTGGGTCTGTAATGTAAAATTATTTATTATTTATTAATAATAAAAATAATAAATAAAATATAATTATAATAAAAATAAAGTTGGACAAAAATTTAATGTCTACACAAATCGGAGCGGCGAAGTGGAAGCGTGGTGAGCCCATAACTCACATGTCCCAAGATTAAAATCTGGCTCTGAGAGCCCTTTTCTTCTTTTTGTTGTATTGGTATTTCTTTATTCCATTCATTGCCATGATGAAATTGTTAAATAAGGTTGTAATGCTTATAAATGCTTAAAAACTAGATAGGGATCTAATCCAACTTAACAAAAGGATGGGTACTAGCCTCACCCTATGAAGCGATTTTCTGCAATTCTTGAAACATCAGATGGTACATTAGGAGAGGTGAATGGTGACATTTTCCAGAAAATTAAAGTTCTCTGATTTTGTTCTTCACTCCTACCTCTTTTTTATTTTCTTTATTACCTCTTCATTTCCAATATTTTCATTATTTGCAGTATTTTACAACAAACCTATTGTTAGTGAAAGATTTATAGTTTGAACGAACGAACGAACAAAATTTGTTAGGAGGGATGGGATTTTTTGCTTGCTAATGAATCAAAAGCCATTTGGATATGAATTCTGGGAATATTCTCCTAAAAACACACTAATTTTGACATAAAAATTTTGGTGGGATGTTACAGATTTAGGAACTTTACAGTTCGGTTGTTCTTCAATCTTCAAGCACATATCGGTTACGTCTAGTACCAAATGCTAGTCTCTGCATCATAAGGGAAGCCAAAAGCACATAAGTGAAAAAATTTCTACTTCAAGACAGCAGTGGTTAGAATATTTGATGCCAACAAGTTCGGAAATCATGACAGATAAGAGAAATTGCTTCGTTTCTTAACTGAAAATATCTGGGAGTACGCTTTCAAACCAGTGAGGAACCGGATATAAGTTGGCTTCCACGATCCACTTGCCGGGATCGACCTGATGTTCGGCACAAGGTAGTCCGCAACCTGTGCCCAAGACCAAATTCCCCAAAAACACAACAATACATAAAGGCAATACATGAAAAAGAAAGAACAAAATTGACGAAAATGAGCATAGAAGGCTGTAGTCTAACTTCTTACCAAAGTAAACCAAGGTATGTTTCATCTTATGTTACTCGGCCTTAGATAGGAATGTCAAATACGGGCATCTTAACTTTATTCTTGTAAAAAAAAATTTACTTTTGTGAAATTTATCATACTTGGAATCTTATTATAGCCGAGGCATTCATGTTTAGACAGAGACTTCAACCCCAATTTTTTTCTCTAATGTGATTGAATTTAATATCCGACATGTCAGAAGACTCAGAACTAAAAAGAAATAAAATAAAGAACCATAAATTGAACTTGTAGATCCCTACCCTAAATCTTACCACTTCAGCTGGTTCTGCTAAAACATTGATGAAAAACTTGGCCTGAAAATGACAAAATATTAGAGAACTTTTATAAACTTTACTAACAAAAGAAGCATATGAAGCATAGTCGACCTGCTTTGTGGTTGCACCAGACATTAGAAGATCGGTTGTCACCATTCCCGGCTGAAAGGTAAAAGAGAAACATATGACAATATGAAAAAAGTTGAGAAATCTAACAGATATAGATAACATCTAGTCGAGTCAATTAGACATTTTATCAACCAAATTTGATTATAAATTTTACCGAATCAAATCGAGCAAAAAGAAATTTTATTAGAGTTGTATAAATCTATTGGAGTTGAAATAAATATCTAATTATATTTAAGTATGACAGTATGTGTTCACTATGGATATGTTCCATTATTTCCTTTTCAGGATTTTCATGAATTTGAAGGATCCAAGGAGGATCATATCCTCGAACTCATGTTTGGATATGTGTTGGTCAGAGTGTCGAACAAAGATACTTCAAGAAAAATAATGTCGGAGCAACATAGTGTATCCTTCTTTTCTTTTCCGACGTCTCACTTTTGGAACCCTAAAAACAAGGTCTGTAAATTTTCATTTCTAAAACTTGCAACACAAACAAATTGAAAGGGACAGTAGCAAAAACACATGGACTTACGCACTGTAACTCAAAACACCAAGTTATAGAATAAAGCTTAAAACTATTCTGTACGTTCCTATTCACCTCAGCACCTTTTCACTCAAGGCACACAATTTACCAAACAGTTGATAGAGGTGTGCATTCTTCTGTCCCCCTTCAAGCAGGGGGTAAGCCAGCAAATTTGTTTTGGTGGCCTAGATAAATTATCAAATTTTGAGGGCAAACAGTTGATAGAGGTGTGCATTCTTCTGTCCCCCTTCAAGCAGGGGGTAAGCCAGCAAATTTGTTTTGGTGGCCTAGATAAATTATCAAATTTTGAGGGGGGGCAAAGCTAAAACGTTTTTGTGTTAAGAAGGATTAATGATAGAGGTGTGCATTCTTCTGTCCCCCTTCAAGCAGGGGGTAAGCCAGCAAATTTGTTTTGGTGGCCTAGATAAATTATCAAATTTTGAGGGGGGGCAAAGCTAAAACGTTTTTGTGTTAAGAAGGATTAAATTGAATTATTAATTTTTAACATTAGCTAAAAGGGTTTAATTGCATTATTTATATTTGGGAGGGACTAATTAAACGTTTCTGAAAGAATGAGAGAGAAAAACGTAGAGAGGGAGAGTCTCAAAGGAAAGTCAGTCTCCGATGAGAACTGGACGTTGTTTATCGACAATCTTAGTAGGAGGGTGTCCCGACGTACATTAAGGGAAATTTTCATGGTCCATGGTCTTATTGAGAGAGTTTTCATTCCCAAAGTCATTAGGAATCCAAAATACAAATTTTCAACTTTTGCCTTTGTTCAGTTTAAGAGTGAGGATGGTTTGAAGAGGGCAGTCGAGGTCTTAAATGGTGTTCTGATAGACGGGAGAAAGATTTCAGTTGGTCCTGCAAGATACAAGGGAGCTTCTTCCTGGTTTGAGGGAAAGAATATTGCTTCAAAGAAGGTCCTCAGTTAGAATATTGTTGGAACATCCAATTCCAATCAGGCGAAAGTTTTAAACAATTGTTTTAGGGATATTAAGTCTCACAAAGATGCTTTGTTGTCAAACAGAAGTGCAATGGGGAACAAGGCGAATTCATCCGATGATATTCATAGGGGAAAAGTGAAGAAAAATATTCTGGAAATGCATATTCCTTCCGAAAGCTCAAATTGGGTTAAAAGGTCATTAACGGGGATTATTAAACATTCATTTCAGATTGAGTCAGTTAAGAAGGCGTTACTTAAAGATGGTTTTGAAGTCCAAATTACCAGATGGGGACATGTGTGGAATTCTTGTGTTATTGTCTTTAATTCATCGGAAGAGATGAGGGATACTTGGTTGAAGAGGAAAGAAGAACTAGAGTTATGGTTTGATCGATTAGCACCTTTGTTGAATGATGAGGGTGTCCCAATGGCCTTCTGTTTGGTGGAATTAGTGGGGGTTCCTCTGTTAGGCTGGAATGATCAGTTCTTCGAACAAATAGTAGGGAGATGGGGGATAGTTGTTGACATTCATGATGCCACTAGGAAAAAAGACTTCACAACGGCGCAAATTTTATTAAAGATGGAAAGTTGTTTTGATGTTCCGGAGGAGATCTTTCTTGGTTCCTATGGAAGATCATTTAAAGTGTGCATCAAGGTGGGATCGGCGTGCCACTCTTCAAGTTCTTTTTTTGGCAGCTCTCCAGTGGAAGATTACGGTGGGGGACAGTTTGGAGAGAAGTTCACTGTAGAGGAAGAATTCAAATTGATGTCAGAAAGTGGGAAAGATAAAGATGGTTCAGCAGACGACTTTCGGCAAAAAGTTGACAACTGGTTTGACAATGGAGGTTTTTTTTATTCTGGGGGAGTTGGTGGGGAAAAGCATCCCCCAAGACTTTCTTTAGATAGGAATGACATTAATGGTAGACTGTCAGAAAGTCAAAGTATTGGGAGTATAAAAGTTGGTGATTATGCCGGCTTAGGAATCAGAAATTCAAAAATTTTCTGGTTATGGATCACAGGCCCAATCAGATAATGAGGGACATTCTGGGCTTGTTGTCTCAAAAATAATTCCAGCTGGTCCAGCAATTAATATAGACAAGTTTGGCAGCATGATCCACAAGCACAAAAATGTTAACTCTGGAAATTCTAATGAAGAGGGGAATGAGTCAGTTTCAGAGAAGTGTCTTCAGGCTGGATTAGGACAAATTGGACAACAGTTAATGTTGTTAGATCCAAGTATTAATATGGCAGAAAGCTTTTCAAGGGGGAGATCACGGTACAGAAATAAAAGATCGTTGTCTTCAAAAAGTGTTCCGTTAGAGAGAAGAAAAACAAGCAGCTATAAGAGGGTTTATACAAGTTCTAGAGACGGGAAATTCTGGCATGGGAGTGTTTTGAATGTTATGCCTGAAAGAGAGGAGGAATTAACCTGTAAGGAAGGGAAGTTTCAGTCCTCAAAAGCCGCTCAACAGATAGTGGATGTGGAAGTTGCACGAGAGTTGTCAGAAGGAGATAGTACTAGATTCATTTCGGGCTTTGACATCAGAAGAGCTAAAAGACACTTGTTAAGGGAAGCTTTGGAACAGGTGTCCATCTCAACAGTTTCTTCTTCAGCTTTTTCGAATATAATGGAGGAAGCCCTAGCACCTTGGGGAAATTAGCAAGCTATTGAGGGTGTCCTTTAAGCAAGGGAATGAGGCTTTTCTGAATAAGATTATCAGCTTGGAGAAAGCTTTGAATATGGTCAATCAAGGTGATCTTGATGCGGGTTTAGATTGTTGACTATTTAATGATGAAGATTAATTTTATCATTGTCTCATGGAATGTTAGAGGTTTGAGGAGAAAAGAAAAGCAGAGGGTTGTTCAGAGGTTAATTGATAGAAATCACCCACAGTTTCTTTGGTTGCAAGAAACGAAAATGGAGAAGATTCCTAGATCTTTTCTTAGAAGAAAGGGGTTAAGTAATTTTAAAGGTGTTATTGAATCTCCATTGGTTGGCTCATCAGGGGGTTTAATGAGTTGTTGGGATGATAAAATTTTCGAATTGGAAAATCAGTTTATTTATAGAAGATTCATTGTTTTATCAGGAAAATTTCATGTCAATAATTTCAGTTGTATTTTCATCAATGTTTATGGCCCTTCAGTAGAGGAGAAAGATAGTCTTTTTTGAAGAGTTGAGAATGTTCATAGATGGTCAGAGTGCTCCTATTTGTGTAGGGGGGGACTTTAATGTATACCTACATGAAGAAGAGAAGATCGGAAGAACTCAGAACAAGAATTCAATGAGGATTTTCAATATTTTTATGCTGCAAACAGGCTTAATTGATCTACCCTTAAATGGAGGAAGGTTTACTTGGTGCAATAATCAAGATACCTCTACTTATGTTAGATTGGACCGGTTTTTGGTTGATGGTCAATTTCTTGCTGCATTTCCTGATATGGTGCAAACCTTACTGCCTAGATCTCTTTCAGACCATAATGCTCTACTGCTGGAAAATGGAGGTGTTAATTGGGGTAAAAAACCTTTTAAACTTTTAACTTATCTCATGGAAGAAGTTGGGTTTGAGGATTTGGTCAGATCTTCAATTCAAGAAAGGAAGAATCATCAGAGGAAGGCTGGAATTTATAGTATTCTGAGAAATACAAAAACTGCTATCAAGAATTGGGCAGGCAGGAGGGATCAATTTCCAGGGGCTCGTATTTCAGACTTAGAATCAAGGATCCACAAGCTAGAATTGGATATCCAACAGGTGCAGGATGGTGTTAACAGTGAGATAGCAGCAGAGTTAATTTCAGCAAAAACAAAATTGTGGAGACTATATAAAATAGAGGAGCAAATCTGGTTCCAAAATTCCAAGTCAAAATGGATAGAAGATGGAGATAGAAATACAAAATTTTTCCATAATTGTGCTTCTATTAGGAAGAGGAGGAATGCTTTGAATATCGGGGGTAATGTTATTCAAGAACCGTCTATCATTAAGACCACTATTAGAGACCACTTCTTTAAGATTTTCAATGAGCATTCGACTTTAGAGGTGGAAGAGATAAGGTTGAATTTTCCTAGTATTTCATTTGAGCATAATCTATGTTTAGAGAAGGAATTTACAGAGGAGGAAGTCTGGGAAACTATAAATTCTTGTGATAGTAATAAAACGTCGGGACCGGATGGTTTAAATATGGACTTCTTCAAAAGGTTTTGGCATGTCCTCAAGGTAGATATTATGAAGTTTTTTCATGATTTTTATTTGGGGAAAGATTGGGAACATGGGGTTAATCATACCTTTATCACTCTCATTCCAAAGGTCTCTAACATTGGCGATCTAGATGACTTTAGGCCAATTAGCCTAGTTGGTGGGTTGTATAAGATCATCTCTAAGTGTTTGTCGAGGAGATTGAGGGGTTGCATTTCATACATCATTAGTCCAACTCAGTTTGCCTTCATACCAGGTCGACATATTCTGGACTGTTCTTTAATTGCTAATGAAGGAGTTGATTATTGGAGAAAAAATGGACTCAAGGGCTGTGTATTCAAGGTTGATTTCAAGAAAGCTTACGATTCTGTTGAGTGGTCTATTTTATTTAAAATAATGGAGAAAATGGGCTTTAGTTCCAAATGGAGGGGCTGGATTAAGCAGTGTAACCACAGCTTCTGTTTCGGTTCTTGTAAATGGAGTTCCTTCCGAGGAATTCTCAATGACTAAAGGTCTTCGACAGGGTTGTTCACTGTCTCCTTTGTTGTTTAACTTAGTAGGAGAGCTACTTAATTTACTGATTCGAAGGGCTGTGTCACGGGGTTTATTTTCTGGAATGGTGATTGGCAGGGAACAGGGGTCTGTAAATGTGTCCCATTTACAGTTTGCTGATGATTTGATTATATTTTCTGGTGCTTCGAAAATGCAAATTCAGAATGTCAAAAGGGTGCTTCGAGTTTTTCAAGTGGTTTCTAGTTTACAGTTGAATTTGAAGAAGAGTAAATTGTTTGGTGTTAATGTTAATGAGGAACTGCTGGAATGGGCTACTACTATTGGATGTTCAATTGGCAGATTTCCTTCTGAATATCTAGGGCTTCCCTTGGTGCTACTAGAAATTCTGCAGCTATTTGGGAACCCGCCATTAATAATTTTTTTAACAAGCTAATCGGGTGGAAGGCAGCCTCTCTTTCTTTAGCAGGGAGACAAGTGTTGATTAAGGCGGTTCTTTGTTCGCTTCCTACATATTATCTTTCCATATTTAAAATTCCAGCTTCGGTTCTTAAAACCCTTAACTCTATTATGTCCAATTTCCTATGGGGAGGGGGAAATGACATTAAAAAAATTCACTGGGTTAGCTAGTCCAATGTTAACAAGCCGAAGAGTGAAGGGGGCTTAGGAGTTCTTAATCTAAACTTGATGAATAGAGCGCTTTTGGGGAAATGGACTTGGAGGCTTGCCAATGATAGGGATTCAGTTTGGAGGGAAGTTGTTTGTGCCAAATATAGACTGGATTCTTCAGTTTTAATTCTTGACAGTAAGATTCCAACTAAGGTATCCTGGATTTGGAGATCAGTGCTAAATAATTATTTTAAAGAAGACTTCTTTGGCAATAAATTTAGAAGCATGTGTAGTTTTCATGTTGGTGATGGTAAAACTATTCGGTTTTGGCAAGATATTTGGGCTTTGGATCATCCACTTTATGTCAGTTTCCCAAGACTATTTTCTATTTCCATAAATAAGTTTGGGAAATTATCTGAATTTGGGGAGTATATCTCTTTCGTTTGGACTTGGGATGTGAAGTTTAGAAGAAATCTTCATGACTGGGAACTTGAACAGTGGTCTAACTTGTTGGCTATCATTACAAATTTTACACTCTCATCGGAATTTCTGATTGTTTGATTTGGAAAGGTACAAGGGATGGGGGTTTTACTGTTAGATCAGTTGTTAATCTATGTTCATCGGAGACTTTGGGATCGGAGGTCTTTTTCTGGAAGAAGATTATTTGGAGAGGTTTACTGCCTCCAAGAGTAGAGTGTTTTCTTTGGCAGATCGCTCATGGGAAGCTAGCTATTAGGACTGAACTTGTCAAAAGAGGTGTTCAAGGAATTGAAGATGTGTTGTGTCCCTTATGCAAGATGTCGGATGAGTCTCCCTCTCATTTGTTTTTCTCTTGTCCGGTGATGTGGTATCTTTGGAATAAGTTTTTAAATTTTTGGAGGATTTGTTCTGTTTTACCAGCGGATGCTAAAAGCTTCTTTCTAGCTTGCGATGGTTTGAAGTCCAACTCTTCGATTTGGCCTTTTATTCCAGGGGTCGTTCTTTGGACCACTTGGAAAATGAGGAATTTTGTGGTGTTTGAAGGGGGAATGTTTGATAAGGCATAATACTTCTTTTTAGCAAGGTTTAGGCTTGCTTCTTGGTTTTTAGCAAAGTATAAAGAAGTGTCTATTCCTAAGAACTCACTCATTGCCAATCCTACTCTAGGGGACTTAATTTCTCTCCGCTCTAATCAGATTGCACCTAGTTTACCTTGGTCTCCTCGTCCAATGAGTTTTGTTAAATTAAATGTTGATGCTGCCACTACAAGGGATTGAAAGAAAAGCGGGTTAGGAGGAGTTTTAAAAGATTCCTCAGGTTCTACTGTAGGCTATTTCAAGGAACCTACTGGTTCGGGACCTCCTACGTTGATGGAGTTAAAGGCTATTCTTATGGGGTTGTCTTTCTTTGCAAATTATCGACAGAGGATCAAGGACCGTGTGACAGTAAGGTGGCTGTGGATTGGATTAAGGGGGTTGAATTATGTCCTGTTGTGTATGCCTTCTTGATTAAAGATATTGTTCATAGGCTTAATGCCTTTGAAGGTGTTGTTAGATGGGTTAATAGGACAGTCAATTTAGAGGCTGATGCCTTAGCTAAAGAAGGCATAGGCCGAGTTAGTAAAGTTGTTGATAGTTGTCTAGGGTTGTTTCTTGGTTTTCTGTGTTTTGTAAGGGAATTACTATTGTTGTTTTCGTTGTAATTTATTATGATGAATAATATATAGGCACTCTTTTCTCCCTTCCGCTGATTAAGGAGCTTCCCTACAAGATTCATTAATCAAGAAGGGGGTTTTTAACGAGGCCTAGCATTCTTATCAAAAAAAAATATTTGGGAGGGACTAAAGGTATAATTTTACCATTTTGTCAAGGGGCCAAGGCACCACCTGGTAACTTCACAATAACTACGTAGCATAAGCTAAGAAATAAATCAATGGTTTTTTTCCAATCCTTTGCCTCGTGAACCTTAAAATCTGTCTTGGGACTATCCAAAACTTCTAAATGTAATCATCGGATGAGTGCCGTTGATATAATATTTTGCTCCAAGTCAGTTCCAGTGGTATCCTATTGAAAGGAAAGGTTAATCAGCCTCCTATGCTTTTCGTATTATTTCTGATTACTTGCATACCAAGGACCTGAAACTATGGGTGATATTTGACTAAGGTCCTTCTGACTGAAAGAGATTTATGAGAGAGACTATGTCTAAAATGGTTAGGCATATATCGAAATATAAATTTAGAAATACTAGTTTGTGTAAAAAAAAATCTATAATGTTTAGCTTCTTTGGTATTCTGTTTTACGTATTTTTCTTTGTGTAATTCTAACTTATATAGAGTAAAACCTGCATGTAACTAATATGAAAGCAAGAAATTTAGCCTAAAGCACATATGTATCATGCAAATTTAAGATCGAAGACAGGATAAGAATATAGGAGAAATATACAAGCATTATCAAAATAGAAATTAGATGATTGTTTAATGTCAAACGTACCGATAGATTATGTACTACGACATTTTTAACATCTTGCATCTTCAGTTCAGCCTGTGAACAGATTAAAAAACCCAACATTACAAATTAACTTCTATAAGAAATGTCCTTACCAAAGAAGATAAATAAACATTAGTCATTGAGAACATTGTTTACATGAGTTGATTTGACTGATCACATATAAACATTACAAGGAAAAACAAAAGAACAATAATCTGTTGACAAGATTCAATATCACACACGCGTGCGTTTATGTACACTCAAATGGAGCATACAATACCTACCATGCTCATTCTTTCAGAAACTAAACTATTCCTCTTTGAAATATCAGAAGAGATCAACTTGAGAAAATCCAAACTTTACTATACAGCCAATCGATTTTGAGGAAAAAGGTGTAAGGAATTTTTTCCATCAATGACATTATGTCAGCTCATTGCTCATTTTTCTGCCAGCCTCTACAATAACAAGTACACATGGCATATGATTTGTCATTCTCCTACATGCATAAAAGACAACCTGGATCCCACTTTATTCCTATGTCTAGAATTCTACTGCATGCATGCATAATAAGTGCATGAAAATGCCCTCACATATTAAAGCCACTTTGCCAACGACGATGATGTACTTTGAGCCTCTTCAAAATAACTTATCAAAGGAAGACTCACTCAACTTAAGGCACTTTAGTTAACTATCATAGTCAAACTATCCCATCCACATGACAATAAGCTTTTTTTACCCCATTAGAAAATATGCCATTAAAAATAAAAGGAAGCTCAAGATGTTTCAAGAAGGAAAAATAGATAAAGTGATACTCAATTGTCATCATGAATGAAAGAAAACAATTGAATTAGTTTCCTCACAAGGCACTTCGCAAGACAAGTAGAACATGTACCTGCAGCGATTTTGTAAAATGCACCACGCTACGTTTGGTTGCACCATATGCAGCAAACCTGTGGAAAAAGAAGATGGATAATCAAACAAGGAAAAGAAGGAATTACATTATGAAAAAGTAATGCATTTGCATGGGAGGATGGAAGCTAAGATAGTTAATAAATCCTTCACGAAACAAGCCATACTCGAAAAACAGTATCACTTAAATGAAGAATAAAAATTCAACACGACCCTGCTGTGAAGTAGTGATAAAGCAAGATATAGGCAAAGAGAAGACATTACTTATGGCATTTGGAAAGTATAGTGCATGGTCAGATAATTTAAAATTGTCAAGAAAACTGGGTAGGATTACTAGATGATGAGAAGCTGAGACAACATTATGGTAAGGCACAATGCAAGATATAGAGATATTCACTTAAACAACCCACTATTTCTGGCCTACAGCACACAGTAATTAAGTAAAAGAGGAAAACCTAGGGGTTGGTCTTCCATCTGAACCAGCTCCATCAATGTTGAAAATATGACCACCTCGAGACTGTTGCAACATCATCTTGATGGCCTGAGAGACAACTATGCATCATAACAGAACTAAAAAAGTGTCAAGCAAGAAAAAATATACTATTTTGTTTTTACCTCTCGACAACAAATCATCAACCCAAGGGTGTTTGTAGAAACAACTTCACTGCATAATGACAACCCAACTTATAAATCATTGAAAAAGCATTCCGACACCAGGGCCAAGACAAAAAAAAGAAAGAAAGAAAAAACCGTATATGTATACTCACATGAGATCTTCATCTGATGCTTCTGCCAGTGGTTTATAACTATATGCATTGGATCCTGCATTATTAATCTGCATCATTCTCAACATAGAGTAAGATTATAATATCGAAAGAGAAACATATAAAGCTTTGTACAAAAAGGAAAATAAAATATCATAATCAAAAGGAAGACGAATCTAAAAGAGAGAATTCATTTTAAGGGTTGATAAAGACATGTGTCACAGAAGCATGTGCCATGATATAAAACCCCAGAGTTGAAGTCTGTAGCGGCAACCATTGATGTTGGGTAAAAGTCCAAATGGAAAGTGTACAGAAAGCACACCTTTTGCTCTTAAAAATATAATTTTTCATTACCTCAAACTATGACAGAGGGCTCTATGGTTTAAACCAAACAATTATTTGCACGTTTAAGACATTGTTGTTCATTCACAAGTCTGTTTCAAATGGCAGCAGAAACTAAAAGAACCCATCATCAAGTTTCCAAATAAAAAACTGAACCATAAAAAATACAAGTAGAGGGACCAAGATTAGACATAAATACCCATATGTCAATGTATCCCAGGTTCTTTTGAGCGAATAAAACTAAATTCTTCACATCCTCTGCCACTCTAACGTCACACTGAGTACCCTGTGAACCAGATTTGTTCAAAGCAGCATTAAGCTTAAATTGGAGAAAATATCCGTTTGAAAAATGAAGTTGAAAATACATAAGAAGAATTGGGAAGCCATAAAAACAAGTCATAGCAGATGTACCCACACACGTTCCCCATATTCTTCTCTAAGGCTCTTAACAGCGGATTCCACCCGTTCGGCTGTCCAAATATTAATTTAAGTGTAAAACTACTTTAATGGCGGAAAGATAGTGAAAAAAATATGACCCAAGAATAGAAAATATTCAACTGGAATACTATTAAACAGACATTTAAAAGATCAAGAGGGGAAGACAGAATATTACAGGTCAGAAAGCAATTATATTAGTAGTCGGCCACCGGAAGATGAGGCCTGCTGCAATATGTTCATGGCAAAATAACACATGACAAAAATCTCAATTCTCCTACCATGTTACTCAGACTTGAGTGTAAGCATCTCATTCGAGTATGTGTTCAACATATGTATATATTTGGAGAAACAATGTCATATCCCTGTACCCGTCTCCGATATAGATTTAAGTTTAACAAGGTGTTGAACATGTGTACATCAAACAGTACCAAAACAAAATGAAGGATGGAAGTACCAAATCTCTCTGATACCCTTTCATTTGATATCTTCAAGGTAATAATTTTTTCACAACGTTTAACACATGAAATAAAAAGTAGACAACTTTTAGCAAGTTAAATAATACGTAAAATATGTTGCAAATGCAGCACAAGAGCATTTTAGTGATAAGAATTGAGAAAAGAAGTAGAAATGTTACCAGATCTCGAACAAATTATGACATTGTCACCAGCTATCAGAAGGTTTTTCGCCAAGGCGTACCCTATTCCTGAAATCAATAAATTCGTTCATAGCTTTTCTAAAGAAAAAGGTTAGGCAAATCGTATAAATTCGTCTACTTTGGCTTATTTAAAGCTGTCTCTACAAATTATCTTCAACCTAAGTTTCTTCCAATCAAGAAAATCCAGGTCCTATCCACACAGCACACATAAAAAGAATAAGAGAGACGGAAAAAGAAGAAACCTTTGCTTGAGCCAGTTATGAGAACATTGTAAGGAGGAACCATGGGTTGTGTTTTTCCATTGATGGAAGCTTGAGCTTTTACTAGCAGTGGAGAATTGGAGGAGATGTGGTTCTTTTGAAGTGAAACATTATCTGTAAGGCTGTAAGATTGAAAATGGGAGGGTTTGGAGATGGGAGAGAAGATGATTGGATGAGCCCTTGAAGACCAAAAATCAGTGAAGAATTTGGCAGTAGAAGCAGTGGCCATGGATGATTGAGTGAGTTTCGATGTTTGATTGATTAGCTCCAACGCGTAGTGCCTATACGAGGCGTTTTCTCCGAAATATCACTTATATCTTATAATATTTTCTACTAGGCATGTTTTAGACTTATTTTTTTAATCTATCACCTTTTACAGTAAGGCGTATTCTCTGTAACGTGTTTTACGTTGATATGGTATCATATGGAATAAGGCACGCTCATTGTAACGTATTTTACGCTGATCTGACATTACGTGGGTATAACACGAGGCAGGCAGGGGTCGCGCTTTACCTTTAATGCTGACTCGTGTTAGAAAGGTGCGTCCCCTGCGACACGCCTTAGGTTTAATTACCCCTACCCGACCGTTCACACCCCACCCCCTCCCCTCCCCTCCCCTCCCCTCCCCTCCCCTCCCTACAATACCTTCATTCTCAATCACTTTCATCACACCAAATCCTCTCAACTTCTCTCAAATACTCTTATATTATATTTTAACTGTTTAAGGTATATTTTATTATATTTAATATTTTGTTTTTAATTTGTTTAAGTATTTAAAATTTTTAATATTTTATTTAATTAATTTTTTTTACAGATATAAAATGGAAGGAGGTCTACTTCGCTTGGATGGAAATCATATATCGCGTCATTTTGTTGATACGGTAACATTTTAACGTTTTAATATAATTTAAATTATTAGTAATAATTTATTTTATTTATTTAATGCATGATTATTAGTTTAAAAATTAATTTTTGTAATTATTTAATTTTAGGAGAGAGGTCGTGTATTAGATCATTTTATTAGGAACCTTAAGTTAGTGATATCTAGCCGTATCTTGTCGTATTTAGTAGATGCTGGATTCGGTCACATAGGTAGATATGAGGGTCACTGTAAGATAGAACAAGACCTTATTTCTGTCTTAGTGGAGCGGTAGAGGTCGGAGACCCACACATTCCATCTTTCGTGCGGAGAGTGCACGATTACACTTGAGGATGTTTCTATACACCTGGGGCTTACGGTGGATGGAGATGTGATATCGGGGATGGCGCACGGTTCATGGACTGCTTTTTACCGGGACTATCTAGGACGTGTCCCGAAAAGTTTTAACGGTGGTTGGATACCATTAAATTTGTTAGATGCCAATTTTCGGGAGTTGAGCGAGGACGCCTCTGATGATAAAGTTAAAATGTATGCACGGGCATGCATACTGCAGCTGATAGGAGGGTTGCTGATGCCGAACAAATCGCGCAACCAAGTTCACTGTATGTGATTGCGACATCTTGGCGACTTTCGTCTGGCCGGATCACTCATGGGGCTCGGCAGTTTTGGCTTTCCTGTACAGAGAGATGTGCCGAGCCACTAACTACAAGAAAAATGCTATCTGCGGATGTCTCCTGCTACTGCAGCCTTGGGCATGGTATCGTTTGCCCTTTTTATGTCCCGTTGTCAAGAACTCATTCGTATTTCCGCTACTATTGAGGTAATTATAAAATTGATTTCGTATATTAATCATTTTATACAGTGTATAATAAATTTTATTTTCCTTAAATAGGTGGTCTACTGATAGGAAAAATTATCAGGAGCTACATGATGATTTAGAAAAAATTAGGGTGTTAATCGATCAGAAGGCTGGCACACAGGTATGCATTTTAATGTTTAAAAATCGATTTTAGATTATAGTTGTATAATTAGATTATTATTTTGATAAAAATTATATATATTTGTTTTAGTTTGAATGAGTGTCATATTCTAATGATGATGTGAGGATGGTGATCTTACCTGAGTTGAGGGGCCCATTAGATGTTTGGATGGCGATGGTCCCTTTGATCTGTTATGCGATCATCGAGTGGCACTCCACTGATCATGTGCTTCGGCAATTTGGTTGTTTTCAACCAATTCCAGAAGCACCTCGCAATATGGACGAGTTGCATAGCACAGATAGACGCGGCAAGACCGATACAGATTGGCTGGTGAGGCATCATAAGTGGGTCGTGCTGTGTAAGGATCGACATCGGCGCCTTCCCCATAGAGATCCCATTTTTATTGACCTCTTGATGGTTGTTGAGGGTTATTATGAGTGGTTCAACAGTAACGGGAAACCGTTTATGCTTTCCGAGGATGCACGAGGACAGACCTTTCAGCGACGTCGACAGAGACGTTCACCGACACAGCACCATCGTCCCCCGACTCGTGGACAGAGAGCATGTGTTTCCGGTTCATCCTCAGCTGCACCAGCAGGACATTCACAGTAGCCACTGTCTATAGCGACTTACATACCACATCCATATGTGATGTCGCCACCGTTCCTTACTCAGACGACGACGACAACGACGATGGTGATGATGATGACAGCGAGGAGTCACAACCACTGATACGAAGAAATGCTCTTCAAGACCGACAGCCACCGCCCTGCGGAACACATTCGCGTCGTAGGCATCGATAGATTTTGTTTTTATTATATTTGTATTTAGTTGTTTTTTGGACTTTTTTATTGTAATTTTTTTTTATTTATCATTTAATACTTACTTTATTTCATTAACTTTGTTGATTTATTTTAATTATTTTGTTAAATTTGTGGACTTTTGTTAATGTTTGGTTAATTTTGTTTATTACCATTTAATATCAATTATTGTAATTTGTTTATCATTTACCATTTAATACTTATTGCAAGTTTGTTGTATTTAAAATTATATTCAAATACCAAATTGTTATTGTTTTGATAAAATTTAATAATTGTGTTTGATAACTTTCTTCAGTTTGTCACTTATTGTAAGATCTAATGACATTAACTTGAAGTAAATGCAAATTAAAGTACATGAATTCTTATTTGATAAACAACTACATCAGTTCCTCATCAATTGTTACTTGATGACAGTAGAAGTGGACATGTTTTTCTAGTGTGTCTTGGGTTTCTACAATGCCCACATCTTCTGTCTTGTCTAGATCTTTCTCGAATATCCATATCATAATGAATTTGATTGGATTTTGGACGACCACGCTCCCTCGATAAAGTTGGATTTGGTACAATCGGAAGCCAATCATGAACCTCATCAGGATCTTTGTCATTCCTTATAGGGGGAACTCAAATTCGTATACCTTAAAAACTTCAGATAGTAGGTATACGGGATCCACAAAACAGTTATAGTCTTGACAAGTATGCTAGCAAGCTGTTATCACATGAGAGCATTGATACTTCAGAGCTTGAAAAAACCTGCAGTCGCACATTCTGTCCCGTAGATTTACTCTTAACGACACAGCTTCAATCCCTTGAAGAGGTCGCGACAACTCTGTGATACGAAACATTTCATGTCTTCTAGAGAAGCTTGTTACATACATTCCATTTGATGCAACAATTTTTTTTGTAGATCTGCAACTAATCTAGGGTGATAGACATGACCGCCTTGTATCCAGGTTTGAGCTTGTCCCCCGAGCTTCGCAAAAAGCGCCCCCAAACAAAAATATGTAGTTTTTACCAAAGTTGCTACAGGTAAGTGACGTACACCCTTTAAGGTTGAATTGATTGCCTCAACCAAGTTGGTTGTCATATATCCATATCGATATCCACCATCATATGCGTTCGTCCACATTTTTTTATCGATGAGGCTGATGTAATCGTATCCTTCTTTGTTTTCGCTCGTAAATCTTGAAGCATTGATTCAAACGTTTGAGGAAGTTGTTCATAACCTGATCAAAAAATGTATAACTTACTAACTTGTTTTCTTTGCAAAATTAAAATGATCGAAAGAAAACAAACTACATCAGTTTCACTTACCCATGCGCACAATTAATTGACGCTCATCATTCTTCTTGTACCTTCCATGGCAGTTCACAGCAATGTGTCGGAGACAATACCTATGTTGGACAAAGGGTGGTTGCCACATTGAACCCAAATACTTCATTATTGCTTTGATCCTAGCTTCGCAATATGAAATGACACATTTTTTCCCTCGTGATAACATGTGCACGTAAGTTTCGGAGGAAAAAAGCCCAATAATCTGTATATTCTCCTTCAACAATAGCAAAAGCAACTGGAAGAATGTTGCGATTGTCATCTTGGACAATTGCATCTGTTTTCGCGTCGGGCACAATAGCATACATATTTTTCTATCGTGGAGTGGTCGACTCTCGATTGAACAGAATTACAGATATTGTAATTTTTATAGCCATCATCGCTTCTTCTTTGCTTGAAAACTCTATGCCTAAAGATAAATCACCATTATTTATTGATGAGTAATATCCATAGTTACCGAGATGAGGCATATCCGCAAATTATGGCCCGTACATTGCACCATAATTAGCTTCATACATGTGTGCTGGAGGGTCAGTTTGTGCCATATTTAATGGAACTTCATCTACATTATCATCATCATCGGAGTTGAATTGAGTGATTCTGGGTGAATGAATAGTCCAGTCTCAGCACCATCCACATCAGGCTCACGAAGCGGTTCTTCTGGTGGAGATGATGGTTCCTCCATCCTCTCCATATGTAGGTCGAAGAACCTACTACTTGCACGTCTTCCCCTTGAACTAGAAGGCATATCGACATTGAGATCGAAAAAACTCGCAGTGGAATGCCTCCCCCTGGAGCTTGAAGCCATCGTGTCAAATGGAAACTGCACAGATTGTTGCGTCGATGACTTCTCCATATGAAGGTCAAAGAAATTTGCAGATGAATGCCTTCCCCTTGAACTAGACGCAATGTTGTCATATGGATTGTTCGTAGACCCACCTCGGTATATATCGTAAGGAGTTGCGGATGAATGTCTCCCCATTGAACTTGATGTGACGGCACCATGATGCGGATTTCCCATTATGGCATTAAAATCATTACACATTACTGTAGTCGGGCTATCAACTTGATCAACTTGTTCAGCCAGCCCATAGTGCGAGCTTAATGACTGACCCCGAACAGCACGCACTTGAACAAACTTTGCATACATCTCAATATCGCCGTCTGAATAATTACTTTAAGAATCAGCCATCATTTCAACATCATCATTGTTCGATAATTAGAACGTTGTATAAGTTAATGGCAACAATGATATTG